ATAATACAAGACCTGAAATAAAATAGTATATACAAACGTTAATAGTTACTGATAAACGTGCACATGTAATAGTGAAATATAACATGTACAAGCAAAAGTTAACATAAATGTCTATAATTTAACATATATCAGGAAATATTAACATTTATACACAAATATTAACATGAATGGATAAAAGATCACAGGTAATATACAACCAAACATGAATGAGAATTACTAAACTTACTGATGGAATTTCTGATTGCAAAAATTTGAGACCCATCTATTCTCATATGGTGTGAGCTTTGCCGCCACATAATGAGATATTCTAAAGTTGTGAGCGAAGGTTCCTTCACTATCAACCAAGCGTATGCCAAAATCAGAAACATTACAAATACCCTCGTTTAACAATTTCAGAAGAGCCTCCTCCTTCTTCTTGATTTTCCTATTCTTCAAAAAATCCCAGCTTCATTCATCAGGCTTACAATAGTACCTGGTATTTTCCCCTCTCATCATCCTTCTGGTGTGATACTATAACTATCTCTTCATCAACTTTCTTCTTCTTTTCTTCAGTGAATAGGGTTTAGACTAGCTGTGATCGCATCCTAATCCCGGTACTTAGTCCCCTTGTCCCATTTGAAACTAATTTCTTTGATCTTTTCTGATAAACTTTTGCCTCCAGTGTGGTAATGAATTACTCAATTGATGACTCTTCAACATTCTCCTTTTTCTCCTCCTCTTTTTCTTCCTCTTTCTTCTCTTCTTCTTTCTCTTCCTCTCTCTTCTCTTCTTGTTTCCCCACATTCTCACCATCCTCTTCTTCCCTTCTTTCTTCTCTTTTCTCTTTCTCCACATTCTCAACATCCACTTCTTGACATTCTTCTTTCTCTACTTCCTTCCTTTTTGCGCAGCTTCTTGTTTTTTCTCTTCTACTTTATCTATTTCCTTCTCCTTTTGCACAACCTCCTCCGCAATATGAGAAGCTTCCTTTCCAATATTGGTTACATCGTCATAATCAAAGCAACCAATATCACCACCCCTATCAAAAGAATCCAAACTATTTTTCTTCTTCTTCTGTACAGCCTTAGTATGCCTATCATTCTGGGCCATAACATTCTTCACATTCTTCTTTAGGTCTTCGGGGTCAATGAGATCACTGGTTCCTTCACAGATCTCTAATTTTCTGTTAAGCTATTGTATCTCCTTGGCGCAAGCATCCCACTGATATCGTTTGCTATGTTTGACAACATGGAGCAATTTCCAATTTAGTTTATTAGTATTCCTCCAAAAATAAATTTGCTTATCACTTGGTAACTTCTCTATCTCATCTTCTCTTTCAAGAGCATCACTAATATGCCGGGAGAAAATCTGAAAGAAAAACCATATACCCATTGAAACAATGTACACTAACATGCACAAAGAAAGTTAACATGAAACAATACAAATTTAAATGTAATAATGATAAAGTTACAAAATTTTGTTCAATATAAATATGCAAGAATGTGTAAAGAATAATTGGTGCTTACGTAACCTATTGATGAGCTCTTAGATCTATACTTCACCTTCTTTGGCTTCTCATCCTTAACATTTTTTTGCTTCTCCTTCTTCTTCGGTAGTAATTTCTCCATAGATTTACTCCTACCGAAGACGGGGGGATTCTTTTTTTTTCACGATGAGAGATATCATTCTTCTACCAACTGGCCCCATTTGAGGGTATTTCTCACTCCGTGGACTGCTCGGAGAAATTGGTTTCTCTACGATTTTAATGTTTGTTTTTCTTGCCTTGAAAACAATTGTATCTCTCCTCAAAGATCCAGCCGTCCCTCCAACCCTTACCCAATTGGTCAACGGAAGCTTCTATCTTAAGTTCATGGCTGGTTTTTTAATGCCTGTCATCTCGTAATACCATAGCTATCAAAATAGAATGAATGGAATTTTAAGCTTTTATAAACTAGTAAAACTACAAATAACATGAAAATGATGGAGGAGAAGCAACAAATATTTGTCTTAATTTTTCTTTCTAATTTTCAAAACTCTTTGTTCAACTTCAGTCTAAATAGCTAGCTTTCACACTTAAAGGTTAACTTTTACTATTACATGTTAACATTCAGGCGTACACGTTAACTGTCACATTTTAATGTTACCTTTCATTTTCATATGTTAACTTTCATATTAACATGTTAATTTTCACCATATCCTGTTAACTTTTAATCTTGTACATGTTTTCTGTTGCATGTTAACTTTTATCATAGTTATCAAAACTGCTAATAACTAAAACAAAAAGTAAACCAGATGAACATGCAACTTATAGGAATGAGTAACAGGCATCCATGTACGTATGTAACCCCTGACTTTCTCATTCCTTCAACGATAATTTGTATGCCTCTCTTCATCTCATCAAAAATAAATTTCCCATATGCAAAAATTTTCACTCTCTCAACACTGTCCACATATTGAAATAATTGTCTTGGGATGCCTTGTGAACTGTTAGGGCACCAAATCATTGCACAATGGTACGAAATTTGGAGCAGCACAAAATCCTCAATATCCTTCTTTGAAGTTGACTCAACAAGTATCTCTAGTAACTCTTCAACATATCTCCACATGCTACCAGCTTCTTCTTTATCTTTGACCTTTGTCTTTGCCTTTGTCTTTGCCTTTGCCTTAGCCTTTAGCATTTCTTTCTTCTCTTCAAAGTACTCCCTCCAGAGCCGGTTGTGCGGGTCTCTATTCTCATAAATCAACTCCCCATCAATAGGGAAGCTCGTGAGATTTTACACTCACTCCTCATCAAATTTGACTAAAAATATCGAGTCAATTTTGGCATCGAGGAAAGAGAATTCATCCTTTTCACCAACGTAATGACTTAGCGCATGCTCTAGTGCTGGTCGATCACGTGCGGGAGGTCCGAACAATACGTAGTGCTCGAAGTTACTGTCATTGTAGGCATCCCAGTGTTACTTCTTCATTCTTGGTTGAAGGTTTTTCATAAACACATAGTACGATCCAAAACATGTCGTATGCCTGATATCACCTACAACAACAATTTTCCTACATAAAAAAAATATTTAGTCTTAACAAATCATTCAAATTCTTAATATCCATTATACTTATTAACATCAGTGGCAAATATTAACATTAAAGGTTAAAACTTAACAATTTTTTATGACAGTTAACACTTACGGATGAACGTTAACAACACTCAACAAAACTTAACATCTGTTCGTATAAGTTAACATTCATTTATGATTTTAATATCTAATGATGAAACATGTATGTGTAAAAGTAAACATCAGTTATTTACTTTTTTCATGTAATGCTTTAATATCTAATGATGAAACATGTATGTGTAAAAGTAAACATCAGTTATTTACTTTTTTCATGTAATGCTATCACTTAAACAAAAAATTGATGTACATGTAAAAGTAAACATCAGTTATTTACTTTTTTCATGTAATGCTATCACTTAAACAAAAAATTGATGTACAAGCTATACTTCTCAATATATAATATATGACAAATCCAATTGCAAATATTCACATAATTTTCATAATCGTTGGATGCGATTGTATATTGTAATTCATATGCTATGATTATACTTCTCAATATATATTACATGATAATATAACACAATGAACTAAATTCCTAATTCATATGCTATGATTATACTTCTCAATATATATTACATGATAATATAACACAATGAACTAAATTCCAAACAATGAGTCTATATGTCATACAATAGATATATATTACATGATAATATAACACAATGAACTAAATTCCAAACAATGAGTCTATATGTCATACAATAGTTCTACACTTCATACATAATAATTTCACTCAAATTAAGATAAAATTCTACAAATAAGGTCCCCGTTTTATCCACTTTTATTATCAATAAATTGACTATCAAACTGCAATAGTTATGACTTTAGCCTAGCAATAAATAATTACTATTAGCATGAATTAAAATTAGTTAACAGTTAAGGCATTAACTTAGTAAAAGCTAATATTTATTAACATGAAGGGCTAATAAGACACTTAAGGCTAAACGTTAACAACAAACGAGAATTATTGACATGCATTTCTAATAGCTAATAACAAATAAGAATTATTGACATGCATTTCTTCAAAACGATTATACTTGATATTGTTGAGATCTTACTCCCAAATTAAGAAACTGGTTCTACACTACAATAACCAGTTTCTCGCCACCATTTTTTCATAAACAAAACCCATAAATCTCAATCGCATTTTAAAGAAATAAACTGTTAACTTTCTTCCTTTTTCCCCGCTCATATTTTCAGCAAACATCCAATACCATAATTTTACAAATTACTTATAACGAAAATTAATTAAATTCAAAATCACTTAATTGATTGGGAACTTACTTCTTCTTAGAGATGGGCACAACCTCCGTCGAGCGTCTCCTATTACGGTCTCAAACTTCCGGTCCCTTTTTCATGCTCAATAGAGTCATCATCGCCTCGTTACTTTCCTCGTTCTCAGAGGATGTCGGAGAAGAACCGCCAACGGGGGATATGAAGGCAGAGGCAGAGGCGGAGGCAGATGATTTTGGCGCATCCTCCTTCGCTAACCGAGCCAAGCGACGCCGGTGACAAACCCCTTCCATATGGGTGTTGTCTCCTTCACCATTCTCCACATTAGGGTTCTCGACCATTTTCCTTAATATTTTTTAGACATTTTTTATGGATTTACTGGACATTTGAGTGAAAACTAGGCTTTCGAATTTGAGCTCTCGAGGTGATGGAGGTTTGAGCGTGAGGAGCGAGAAGAGAGAGAGAGAGGTCAGACAAGTTTTGGGGGGAACGTGTTAAGGGTAGTTTTGGGTTTTGAAAAAATGTTTCTCTTTGTGCTGGGTTGGAAAGATAAATAGAGGCTAAAACATAATTATCTCATGTATTGAGGGCTTTCTTACATAAAAAATAATAAGGGGCCGGTCACAACCATTTTTTTGGGGGCATGGACATATTTTTCCCAAATAAAAAATAAAAAACCTTTATATCTCGAATGAGACCTCACCCCGACGCTCGAATCTGATTTCTCCTCGTATCTCATTGCTCACCGTCTAATATCACAGAACCCTAACCCTAACCCTCTCAAAATCCCCCAAACAATGGTGGAATCTGCGGTTGACAACGGCGATGGGCTGAAGAAGCTGGAGTACCTATCCCTCGTCAATCAGGTCTGTACCGAGCTCGAATCGAACCTCGGCGTCGGCGACAAAGTGCTCGCTGAGTTCATCACCGACCTCGGCCGCAAATCCGAGACCGTCGAAGACTTCGACAAGAAGCTGAAGGAGAACGGAGCCGAGATGCCCGATTACTTCGTCAAGACTCTTCTCACCATCATCCACGCTATTCTACCTCCCAAACCCAAATCCAAGAGCAAATCCGATCTCAAGAGCCAGTCTTCAGGTCTTTTTCATGGCCTCGCGAGGCCTGACGACCGGCAGCGGGTGAAGAATTTGCAGGAGGAGATTTTGAAGGAAGCTGAGGAGAAGGCTGATGCGGAGGCGAGAAACCGAGAAGAAGAAGACCGTGATAGACGCCATCGAGATCAGCCTCGTGATCGGGATAGAGATCGGGATCGTGATAGAGACAGAAGGCATAGGAGAGATAGGGATAGATATAGAGGTAGAGGCAGCGATGACGAAAGGGAGAGGGATAGATATAGAGGGAGGGGCAGCGATGATGAAGGGGGTGATTTCAATAGCAGTAGAGAACACCCTAGAAGAAATTCGGATGAGCCGGAGCTTTACAGGGTGTATAAAGGTAGGGTTTCACGAGTTATGGACACGGGTTGCTTTGTTCAGATACCGGAGTTGAGGGGGAAAGAGGGATTGGTTCATGTTTCGCAGATTGCTACTAGAAGGGTTGTCAATGTGAAGGAGGTGGTGAAGAGAGATCAAGAAGTGTTTGTAAAGGTGATATCTTTTTCTGGTCAGAAGCTTGGTTTGGCAATGAGAGATGTTGATCAGAAGACAGGAAGGGATTTGCTTCCGATAAGAAAAACTTCGGAGGATGATGCATTGAGGGCAAACCCTTTGAGTGGAAATAGCAATGGACCGACGAAAAGGATGGGGCTATCAGGGATTATGATTACTGAAGAGGATGAGAGCATGCCGGCAAGAAGAAGGCCATTGAAGAGAATGAGCTCGCCGGAGAAGTGGGAGGCAAAGCAGCTGATAGCTGCTGGAGTTATGGATGTTAGAGATTACCCAAATTTCGATGAGGATGGTGATGGGGTTTTGTATCAGGAGGAAGGAGCTGAGGAGGAGCTCGAGGTTGAGCTCAATGAGGATGAGCCTGCATTTTTGCAAGGCCAGAGTAGGTTTTCCATGGATATGTCGCCAGTGAAGATATTTAAGAATCCCGAAGGTTCGTTGAGCAGAGCAGCGGCTTTGCAGTCAGCCCTTATTAAGGAAAGGAGAGAGGTGAGAGAGCAGCAACAACGAACTATGTTGGATTCAATCCCAAAGGATCTTAACAGGCCATGGGAAGATCCAATGCCCGAGACAGGTGAGAGGCATCTGGCTCAGGAGTTGAGAGGTGTCGGGTTATCAGCGTATGACATGCCGGAGTGGAAGAAGGATGCTTATGGTAAAGCTTTAACTTTCGGGCAGAGATCGAAGCTTTCAATTCAAGAACAGAGGCAGAGCCTTCCTATTTATAAGCTGAAGAAAGAGCTTGTACAGGCTGTGCATGATAACCAAGTTTTGGTTGTAATCGGGGAGACTGGATCAGGAAAGACTACACAAGTGACACAGTATTTGGCCGAGGCTGGGTATACTACAAGAGGGAAGATCGGGTGTACTCAGCCTCGTCGAGTGGCTGCAATGTCTGTAGCAAAGAGGGTGGCAGAGGAATTTGGGTGTCGGTTAGGAGAGGAAGTCGGTTATGCGATTAGGTTCGAGGATTGCACTGGGCCAGAAACTGTGATCAAGTATATGACAGATGGTATGCTTCTTAGGGAGATTTTGGTTGATGAAAATCTCTCTCAGTATTCAGTTGTAATGCTTGACGAGGCTCATGAGAGGACAATACACACTGATGTGCTTTTTGGGTTGTTAAAGCAGCTTGTACAGCGGAGGCCTGACCTAAGATTGATTGTTACTTCTGCTACGCTGGATGCAGAAAAGTTCTCGGGTTATTTTTTCAATTGTAATATCTTTACCATTCCTGGCAGGACCTTTCCTGTTGAGATACTTTATGCGAAGCAGCCAGAGAGCGATTATCTAGATGCAGCATTGATCACTGTGCTTCAGATACATCTTACTGAACCTGAAGGTGACATCCTTCTCTTCTTGACTGGTCAAGAAGAAATTGATCATGCTTGTCAGGCTCTTTATGAGAGGATGAAAGGCTTAGGTAAGGATGTGCCTGAGTTGATAATTTTGCCTGTTTACAGTGCTCTACCCAGTGAAATGCAGTCCAGGATTTTTGATCCTGCACCTCCGGGCAAGAGGAAAGTTGTAGTGGCCACCAATATCGCAGAAGCATCCTTGACTATTGATGGGATTTTTTATGTTATTGATCCTGGTTTTGCAAAGCAAAATGTGTATAATCCAAAGCAAGGACTTGATTCACTTGTGATTACTCCTATTTCGCAGGCTTCAGCAAAGCAGCGAGCTGGCCGAGCTGGGCGTACTGGGCCAGGGAAATGCTACCGGCTGTACACTGAGAGTGCCTACCGCAATGAGATGTCACCCACCTCCATTCCTGAAATTCAAAGGATTAATCTTGGGATGACAACTCTTCAAATGAAAGCTATGGGGATAAATGACTTATTATCTTTTGATTTTATGGATCCACCGTCACCTCAGGCACTGATATCTGCTATGGAGCAGTTGTACAGTTTGGGAGCATTGGATGAAGAAGGTCTTCTCACGAAGTTGGGTAGAAAAATGGCTGAATTCCCACTGGATCCACCATTGTCAAAGATGCTCCTGGCTAGTGTAGATTTGGGCTGCAGTGATGAGATCTTGACGATTATAGCAATGATCCAGACACAAAATATCTTCTATAGGCCAAGGGAAAAACAAGCACAAGCAGATCAAAAGAGAGCCAAGTTTTTCCAGCCAGAAGGTGATCATTTAACGCTACTTGCTGTTTATGAGGCCTGGAAAGCCAAAAATTTTTCTGGTCCTTGGTGCTTTGAAAATTTTGTCCAGTCCCGATCACTAAGGAGGGCGCAGGATGTGAGGAAACAACTTCTTAGCATCATGGATAAGTAAGTCTCTCTTAACTTAATGCTAATTTATTGGTATTTGCGCTTTTTCTGATCTTCTCTCTTGTTGAACAATAAAATGTTTATTATGTTTATTTTCTGGTTTTCAGTTGCGTTAAGCATTAGAGACATATGTACTTGGTATGGTTCTTTCTACACATAATCTGCTCAACAAGATGCATGTTTTAGGAACTTTAACCATAAACATCATGAAGGAAATTGTTGTTGTTCTGTGTTCATGAGCGTCAGCATAATCTCTGGGATATCCTAATGTTGTTTTTGTGCGTTCTTGTTTGATTGAATACTGAGGTGATAAACCTCGTCCTGCTATCTATATCATTTTATTTTGCTGACCTATAATATATTCATTGGTTTCTGGAATGGCCTGTGGTTCTGAATCTTCTTAATTTTCTCCATGAAGAGACATTTAGGACTACTAGGTAATGTCCTAAATTTATTCCATCTGGCGCTTGTGTTGCATGCTCATATGTCATCAACGACGAGTTTTTCCCTTTATGGATTTTGACTGCTCCCATGATATTGTTTTCCTGCTCCAGCTCCTAGTTAGAAGTAAAAAAGAATTCTCTCGTGGGAAATTTCTTTCTGCTTTTCTTTTTGGTTTCATTGGGTTTTAGTTTCGTAACTGGTTAACCAAGCACATGAAAAGCATTATTCGATATGTAACAGTTGACTCACTATTTCTGGCATTAAGTTTAGAAACCAAGTAAAACCATTAGCAACTAAATAAAAGTGAGGCATAATAAATATCTGCTGTTTTTTTATTGATGTTAGGAATGTAGTTGCCATTTACTACTGACAATTAAGCAAAATTGAAACAATATTTTTTTATTTTTGAGAATACAGACGGAACCCTAGAATGAGGCTCCGGCCACTTTGATTATTGAAATAATAATTACTTAAGGGGCCATTCAGACTCGTGGTTTGTATTCTGATATATTATTTTAATATGTACATTGGTTTTGGAATAACATGATGTTCTTTAACATTTCTCCTCTCATCCATTCCAATCTTTGATTGTCTGTAATGCAGACAACTTAGAGCTGAAACCTAGATCTTGTACTGTCTTTCCTTCACCTGTTTTCTGGTCTTGTGCCAATTATCTTATCTCTTTCTAGTATTATTTCTATCCACCAAAACTATAAGTTACTTTTATCAGAAAAACTTAACATACTAAGGAAATCTCCGCCTTCCACTAACAAATAATGATTAGTGCCCAGTCATTGGAGGTTCAAGAGGAATTGAAGGGCTGGATGGTAGCTTTCCTGAACCACAGTTGTATCTCAGTCTTGACCCTAGGACCTCGATAACACAAACCCCTTACCATTGAGCCAGGCCTAAGTGGCACTGTGTAGTGGTTCCAGTTCGAACTTATTGTATATACGCCTATGTTTTATTTCTTGGTGGGTAGAGCCACAGTTAAGAAAATGAATAATCATTTGAACAAAAAATAATTGCTTAAATACCAGAACATATATTCCTCTGAAAGAAATGAACATCTGAAAGACTTGCACTGGAGGATAGAATGCAGTTTAGAATGTGAATAGACATTTTAGAGTGTCTAGATGTTTAATAAATGAAACTTTTAAGTGATTATACAGAATAGCCTATGATTATGCACCCAAAATTTTTACTAGCAACCACATAAAAGATTATACAGAAACCATTGATGTCCGTTGCTCTTTTTACTTACCTACAATCTTTCCTTGTTTTGCTTATCTTGATTATGTTGGTATGACCCATCCGATGCAAGATATTGAACTTGAACCATGTTAGCTGCACTCCGAAGTATAGATTTTCAATTAAACATTCAGCTAGATTTTTTAAGTCCATCCATATTTTCTTTGAGGGGTGCTAATATGCAGGGATGGGTCCCTCATGTCTTGTGATTTGTGCCCTTTTCCCATTAGAAAGAAGTAGGCTGCAGTGTTGCCAATTAATTGGCTTTGATATGTTTCTGTTCTGCTAGCGACTCTTGAAAATTTATTTGTACATAATTTCAGGATCTTTATTTTCTGTGTGATTATATTTTGGGTTTTCATGGTTGTATGACTTACAAGCCTAGGAGATAATTGGATGGTGGAACTGTGGAGTTGTGATCTGACGAGGCCTTCCTTAGATTTATGCAAGAATAGACTATATCACCCACTTTCCCCTAAACTGTACATGGTTCAGTGAAAAGTTATATATGGTGTTACACTGCTAGGTTCTCTTTTATATTTGTCTTCGTAGACGTGCACAATCACATTCTATGAGATCTAGACATATGTTAGATATGCTGATTTGTTAACTATCCAATTCGTGTTCTTAAGTTAGTGCTTTTACATTATCCAAGCATGGTTAAGATAAAAGGGTCTTAGTGCCGGGTAACTTTGCTAAGATCTTGTTGGATCCTAGTTATAGGCAATTTAGAGTTGTAACTAGCTTTGCTTCTCTTATCATGCAGAGAATAATTTTCTTGAGATATTGTTCTAAATTCAATTGAGCCAACATATCCACATTGGTACATTAGGAGAGTAGGAAAAACACTCAGGAAAGATGTGGAGCTGGACTTTACCAGATGTGCAAGTTAAATGCATGTAAATGAGGTTTTTAATGAATCTGCATGGTTGTGAATTAGAGCAAAACTTCAGTTGACTTTCTGTATTTTTCACCCAACCATAACAAATATTTAGACAATCATCCAACTCATATATTAATTGAAATTCTCGGTTACCTACTATGTGAGTTCCATATATTTTCTATAAAAAATGGAACAATGTTCTAAGGTGAGTCCAAAACCTACAAAAAGGAAAATCTGCAGAAGAGAATGGAGTCTCCTTATGCCACCCACTCAAGAATGACTATATAGAACTTTGCAGATATGCACATTCATAAATCACTCAAGTTTTGTCTAGAAATCAAGTCATGATGTAAACCTTGTGGAGGATTTGGGCTCAAACATATAATTTTTGGTTGGTTATTACACTTAAAATATCATATAGGAACATTTTCTTTAAGGAGCAATGAGGGAATATATAATAACTTGTGCTAATCTAATTCTTGACCGTACAGTTGTATCCTGTATTGTCATATCTCAAGGCATCAAGTGTCCCGAGAAGATTGGTTTTTAGTGGTCTTGTCCCACAGATTTTTGTAATCAGTTAATTGTTCACGCCTTCACGAGATGTGCCACTTTCTTTAGTTCTATATGATTCAATGACTTAGAGGCCTAGTTGCCTTGCATTATTGATTACATGTACGTTTTATTTAAATGTATTCTTTTCTATATATCTAAGATACCGGAATTCTCCGTTGTGGACAAGTTAAGAAGACTAGGGTGAATCATGTGGCTTGAATGCTAGGTTTCTTACAGTGCAACTTGATCAGTGTCTATATCTTGTCATGCACTGACACAATACTGCTGGATATTGTTGCTTGTTTTTATTTATACGTCCACTGAAAATTGATTTGACATATAACTTGTATTATGCATCCTCACAGTGCAAATTTATTGATAAACTCTTGCTTCTGAAGTTCAAATGGATTGGCAGACATTGATCATGCAAGGTTACAAGACTATTAGATTGTGTTGCTTGAATATTGTATATTATCATGTACATATCCAATACCATTAGGTAAGTACCATCTATTAGAGTAGGAGGGAGGTAGTTAAGTTTTAGATCCTTTAATTTGAAATTGATTGATATTATTATTGTATTGTATATAGTATCATGCATGGATATAATACTATTAGGTTACAAACACCTCACAGTATAGTGATCATTTACTACATACTTCTTTAGCAGAAGGTTTCTATTATATGTTGATTGTTAAATCTTTATTTAGTTAAGGAACAATAGGAGGGACGCAGGGTTATCTTGTAACTTGCGGTCTAGTTCCACTCTATGCAAACTGATTGATATACACAGTATAGTGCACAGATACAGTACTATTAGGTCAGGACCAGCTTGTGTAGTAGAATAACTGGTTCAACATGTCCCTTTTTCATATTGAACACGTTGTGCTATACATATTGGTTGTTATTTTTTTTAGTTACAAAATAGTAGAAATATTTGAAAAGTAAGCTTTCATGATTTACCATTGAAAGATAATGCACCTTCCTTCTTATTGTAGTTTCTGACCATATATGATGCTAAATAGTATTATTTTACATGTAATTTCAGCATAACATATTTTTGTTCCGCATCCTTGGCGGAAACAGGTGCTCTTAAATATATCGGAAAATCAACATTGTTGCAAAAACCAGACCATTTATGTGGAGAGCAACTAACTGTTAGAGTTCAAGATAACTATTGAATCTTGGTTCTCCTTTTTGACCTTTGGTGGTATGGTATACGTTTTGATGTCAAATGCATGTTGGTACGCACATCAAGACGTGACATCGATTGTGATGGCTGATCCCCGGAAAAAAACTGGTTTCGCAATGACTTTAAAGTCGATCTGTTTATTTACCACGTGTATTTGAGAATACCCCTTGGCTGTGTAGGATTCAGTGGAAAATTTTAGTGGAGGACAATTAGCATATTTAAAATTTATTGGTGATAGTTCAGAACAGACCAAGGGAGAAAAAAGAATAAAAGGTCGGAATAGTTTATTGAATCTTTTATGCATCGTTGGGCTTCAAACTAGAATGCGCATGATTTTATTTATGCATTTATTGAAATTTAGAAAAATAGTACTTCATTTTGCGTCTACTCCTTATTCTGCTTGTTAGTATATATCTTGATTGTTTTAGCAATCTTTAGTAATTTCCAACTTTGTGCTTTTTACTTCATTCAGGTACAAGCTAGATGTCGTCAGTGCTGGTAAAAATTTCACCAAAATAAGAAGAGCCATTGCAGCTGGGTATTTTTTCCACGCAGCCAGAAAGGATCCCCAGGAGGGCTACAGAACCCTAGTAGAGAACCAACCAGTATATATTCACCCGAGCAGCGCTCTATTCCAGAGGCAGCCAGACTGGGTGATATATCACGAGCTAGTCATGACTACCAAAGAGTATATGCGAGAGGTCACGGTTATTGATCCTAAATGGTTGGTGGAATTAGCGCCAAGATTTTACAAGGCGGCGGATCCAACAAAGATGAGCAAGAGAAAGAGACAAGAAAGGATTGAGCCCCTTTATGACCGGTATCATGAGCCAAATTCATGGAGGCTTAGCAAGCGTCGGGCTTGAGTACTTTCGATTTTGTTCATTTATTTATCTTGCCCTATTTTGACTGTTGTAAATATTTGTAACGTTCTGTTTAGCTTAGCCAGTGATTTTTATGATCTACTGATAGCAGTTGTAATTTCCTTTCAAGCCTTTTTGAGTATTGAGCCCCAAATTTCTTGTAATGAACAAAAAATGGGCTTCTGATCATTTTCTTTGGCAATATTGTTTCAACCTGCAGTTTTCGAGAAGGGCTTTTCTATTCCTTGGGCTGTAAATTTTGCGAAAGTCGGAGTTTATGCATTCTTACTTCCAATCGAGTGAGACTAGCTGAAATATTTGGTGAATAATATGCTTACTCGACTAGCTGAAATATTTGGTGAATAATATGCTTACTTCCAGTCGAGTGAGACTAGCTGAAATATTTGGTGAATAATATGCTTATGCCTTGGAGGCTCAAATTCAAATTATGCCTTGGAGGCTCAAATTCAAATTATGAGTGTTGTTTGTTCAGGAAATAGTGCCTTGTTTGTTTTTGTTATGACAAACTCCATAGGATAAGCTTAATATCAATCACACGAGAGCATGAAAAATATCAAGAACACACGAACACAAAGATATACGTGGTTCGGCTTGTAGCCTGCGTCCACGGGTGAAGGAGGAGAAAAGCTTTACTAATTGTGAGGAATACAAAGTGATATCTCTCAATCACTCAATCCCAAATCACACTCCAAAAGCCTAATACAACTCTCAACTAAATGAACAAAAGAGAAGAATATCAAATAGGCTTCATAAAAGAACTCTCTCTTCTTGATTGATGCTCTGAAGATTGATGCATCTAATTAGCTTGAAGGACTGTTTTTATATAGCTTGAAGATCCCAACTCCTTGCTGTCTAAGGAATAAGAGTTCTAATAGGAATAGAAGTTCACATGTCCTAAACCCAACAAGAGTCCAAGTAGAAATAAACCTCTAATATGATTGATTGTGCAAAGTTTAATGTAAGTAGGACTCTTGACCAAAACAAACCAGGCTAAAAAGAAACACTCAAAACAATATGGATTTGAGTATTCGAGGCAATCTATAACAATTTTATTGCAAAATTTTCTATAGGGAATGATTTGTTTGGTCAATGAGTTATGTTGCAGTTACGTGTTAATAATGCCTTCTTTGCTGGGTGTACATTATTGTGTCTGGTCTGATCATTTGACAACACTATTCATTTCCCATTTCTCCTGGGTAGAACAGTGCCGTGTGACAAACAGCTTCTCCTACTTATTTACCGTCATGTATGCACACTTTTTGTACAAGGGCAGTCAAATTGCTGGCAGTTAACAATTGGAGAATTTAACAAAAAAAGACCCTTTTTCAAAAATAATTAGCAACATCAATTGTTTTGTAAAATTATCAGTAAAATCGACCTCTTTTTTTAAAAAAATGTCGACTTTGCAAAAATTGAACTTTAAAATACACGGGACTAATAGTCCCGTGTATATATATAGTAAAAACCAATTTATTTATTATTAACCAAATTTATATCTACAAACCAAGGTTCTTTTGCTTGGAGAAAAGTTATTCAAGTATTTATTCTACAACCCTAAAATAGTTATTTTTATTTTAAAATGTTTAATTATTTTTTTGTATGTAATAATTATTATTTTAATTTTTCTCAGAAAAAAAAATTACTCCAAGGAAAAGAGAATCTCTGATTTTTTATTTTCAAACCATATCGTTTTTGTTGCTTGGAGAAAAACAATTCAGATATTTATTCTGCAACTGTCAATTATTTATTTTAATTTAATATGTTTAATATTTTTTTGCAGCTTTAATTCTTATTAAAAAAAATTCTCTAGGGAAAAAACTCTGACTTTTTATGGACAAATTTTCAAAACCAACCTATTTACAAATTTAATCGCAGAAAACAACCCACTTCAGATTTAATTGCAAAAACCGACCTGGTTTCAGCCTTGGCGCTGAAACCAGGTCGGTTTTTGTGAAAAAACTTTCGAAACTTCACGGGAGTTGAACTCCCGTGAAGTTTTCCAGTACAAAAAAAAAAAAAAATTGAACTACGAAACTTCACGGGAGTTCAACTCCCGTGAAGTTTCGGATAAAAATTTTCAAAAACCGACCTGGTTTCAGCTCCAGGGCTGAAACCAGGTCGGTTTTTGCAATTAAATCTGAAGTAGGTTGTTTTCTGTGATTAAATTTGTAAATAGGTTGGTTTTGAAAATTTGTCCGACTTTTTATCTTCAATCTAGGGTGCTTTTGTTGCTTGGAGCTAGTATTTATTATACATGCGTCAAATATTTATTTATATTTTAATATGTTTAATATTTTTTATACCCAATGTTTCAGTTTTATTTTTTCTCAGAAAAAATTACTCTAAAAAATCTCTAATTTTTTATCGTCAACCCGGGGCGTGTTTATTGCTAGGAGGAAAAAAGCATGTATTTATTCTACAATTGTTGAATATTATTTTTATTTTAATATGTTTAATACTTATTATATTGAATAGTTCTTTTTATTCATAATTCGATGGATATTTTGATTCAACTTTCTAGACTTAATTTATTGAATATATTAGAATAAAAGATATTAAATTTTTAAGATCAGCAATTAGAAAATATATATTTAATGATATTTATTTGAATTTTCTATTTTTTTATTTTTAAATTGTCTTGGAAATTTATTTTTATTTGTGGTTTTTTATTTTTGAAATTGTGCTAGTAATTTTAATTTACGATTTTTTATTTAATACCATTTTTAAATAAATTAATTTAAATATTTTTAAAAAATAGTAATCATGAGAGTAATGAATACCTAAATTAATTTTAATTTTCTATTTTTTATTTTTAAATAGTTCTGAAATTTTTATTTTTATTAATGGTTTTTTATTTTAAAATTTGTGATGTTATTTATGATTGTAGCTTATTTCTAATTTTTAATATTTGGGTTAAAAATATTTAATCTGATTCATGATTGTAGTTTATTTTTAATTTTTAATATTCTATTTAAGGCCATGATTTGAAACCAGTTGGATTGAATATCAAAGTTAACTTCAATAGTTGAGCCTTTACTTTGGTAAATTTTCTAATAATTTATTTTTAGAGTTTATTACTTTGAATTTCTATAAATTATATTTAAAATATTTTAGTGTCAAATTAGGATTTCCATGTATTCAAATAATTATAATTAATCTTTAAATTTTGAATTTGCATAACAACAAATAATAAATTATCATTACTTTTCATATATCAAAACATCAACTATTGCCACGAATATTTAAAAGCTAATACTATGTATTGTTTATATGCAAAATATCTTGATTTACTTGTTTTTCAAAAAAAAAATTGAATTCTAAATGAAAGGTATTCTGAATAAGCAATGTAGATTACTTAAATCGTGGTAAATCATTTGCGAAGAATTTCTTTGAACACTAAACTGTCTTATATCTTAATTTCATTGAAGTTGCCTTTAGGTATAATATTTTGATTATTTTTAATTTTATTCATTTCATATAAAAATTATTTTAAATAATCTTAATTTTAATTATAGCATTATATAAGTTGTTCAATAACATGATTTCCAGACAGGAACATGTTCTCTAACCTTAAGGGGGGGTTCACGTGCTTCAAAAGGAGGTGAGTCAGTAAATCTTTTAAATTATATTCGGATACGAGTGATACATGACGAAATATAAATAAACTGCGATAAAATCGTGCTTAGTATAGGTTAAGACTTGTAATAATTAAGACAAACATAATTTATCATATCATATCATACTTCTCTTAAAAATGGGAGTTATGAAAAACTTTTTATGGACTATTTTTTTTATTACATTCTAATTCTAAGTAAACTAAATGTCCAAATTCCCTGGCTGGTTCCATCATGGAGGGCCTAATATCCCAATGAAATGCCAAATAGATGAATAAAGATTATCTCAATGAGAACATCAATTTCAATCATGGTTCAACTACAATTTTTATGTTGAGGATCCATGCCGGGTTGCAAGAGTGGGTGCCAAAGTAGACGAAGCGATTGGGATCTTAGATGCTGTTGGCTGGGCTCGCTGGAGTAAAAGAGAGGAGGAAGACGGAGAGAAAAGAGAAGTGTAAAGTTTCATACAACGCCCCAAAAATTTGGCACCTTCCTCACAAAGCCCCTCTAAAGTTTGATTTTCCCAATTAACTGCCAAAGTGTTTTCCCACAAAACCCTTATGAAGTTTGTTCTCCCAATTTATAACTACCAGATCTTTCCCACAAAAAGCAAGTTAAAGTTGATGGTGCTAATTTGGAGAATTAAATGAGAAAGTTTGAGGCGAGATTAAGTAGCAGAAAAAAAAAGTGCAGCGAAGAGGCTTTTAGTAGAACTAAAAAAAATTTAGAGGGGGTTTGGTTCAACACCGCCAAAGTTTAGGGGGTATCTAAAATTAGTCTTTTTATTCAAATTTGTTTCTATTTTAAATCTATTATGCTGCAATCTTTGATCTATCTCTTTATATAAAAAGGACGAATACTGGATAGAGTTCCTCCCAAAATTCATATTACATCAATTAGTTTTAGTTATCTAGATGGAAAAATATTGAGTTATTATATATATTTTTTGAAGCCAAAAACAGGGCGAACTGCCCTGTTCATAAAAATATTATATATCACCAGTATTTACAAAATAAACCTGAATTAACAAAATGGATAGGGGAGGAAGCACGGTAGATGTAGACGAAGGAGAGCGGACCTTTGTCGTCATCTTCCAATCTACAGCTATCGAGCTTCCAAACAATCCGAAATCCAGAAAAAAACTTAAAAAACATACTTCAGCTGCCATACTACTACTATATACAAATACAGATCCAAAACATGTTCCTCCTGAATAGAACTATCTCAGGAAGAGCTGAGTACTACATGATCCAAAATCAAAAGAAGATAGAGAACTGGGAACTCATCTCCTTAGAAGAAGTTATCTTCAAACCCTTAGTTCCCTGAAGATTTTGCTATCTCTGACAAACCAGCTTTAATAGCCGCATCATACATTCGCTGAGATTTTTTGCTTTTAGATGTCCCTGTCCAGAAGAGAACAAAACAGGAAGAATTAGCCGCAATAGAGGAGGGGGAAGATGGATTATTGTTGAAAATAAGGTTGTTACGACTGCTCCAAATACACCAGCAGGTGCAAGGGAACAAAGATGGATTATTGTTGAAAATAAGGTTGTTACGACTGCTCCAAATACACCAGCAGGTGCAAGGGAACA